TTTTTCATCACATGTATTTTCACGGATTAGGGCTCAATATTAATGGTTCGAGGATCTGACATTAAATTTGCAAATTAATCTGTGCAGACGATATTTTAAGTTATTAACTCCAGACTCAAAAACGTATTTTCTATGAGTAAATAGCATATCTTTTTTTCCCCCAACGGATTCGGATTCTTGACCCCCGAAACATGGGAAGGGGCAAGACACATTAGAAAATATAGTCCCACTATGATTAATAAAATTCTTATGGAACTAATGAAGCGATTAAAAAAAAATTATAATAACAATTATAAAACTTGTTTACACAAAAATAATTCTGTATAAAAATTATTTTTAATTATTTTATTGACGAACAATTTGAATTCTAATGTATACAAATTTTTACACCAATTTAATCTGCGTAATAAATGACGAAATTCAAAACTTCGAAGGAAATCGGCGGAATAGTTCTTGAAAAATAAATTAAAAGTACTACTTTTCAAATTTTGTTACTCAAAAAATAATGGATCGACTTCATTCAAATTTTGGTATTTTTTCTTTAAAATTACATAAGCTTAAAACGATGTAAAAATTGTGGAACGATGTTAAAAAATCCACAAATGTTTCGATCGTCATTTAACAAGGAATAAGAAATGATAAATTATTATGAATAATAAAAATTTTCTAAAAAAATATATATTAATGTTTCTTTTGCATGGAATTATCTTTGAATAAACAAATTTCATAATTGTGTGCAAAAACTTTTCGATTCGCCTAAAAACTTTGAGATATGGCAAAATTCGTAAAAAAAATAATAAAAACCTAACCTCCTCCCAAAACTAAAAAGAATAGTACTAAACGGATGGTTGAAAACTCACTGTTTGCCTTTCCCATTTAATATTCTGGACATAGAAATCCCTCGCCAAGAGATTCCTGACAAAATTTTATTTTCAAATGCATAATTGGAAATGTAATGAAGTGAGTTTTCGATTGCTCGCTTAGAAATTTTCCTACCACTTTTTTAGTTGTGGAAGGGGGGCGGGGAAATTAACGTTATACGGACCTGAAATTTCAACTGCTCTACTGACTTAACATGTTCGTTGTCACTATACATGCTTGTAGTACTATATCATTGAAAAGTGGTAATCTATATAGATAAAAGTTAATTTTCATATATCTTTTAAGTTAAATTTTCATACATATTTTAGTTTTTAAATTTCACAATAAGTTTATTTTAATAAACTATGCATTATTGTTATTTTGAAAAACATATTTTCTGCAACAAAAGTTAAATGCTAATATGACTCTTGCTAATGCTACCACTTGATCTGTTTTATTGACTCAAACTCTAAGGAAGAAGTTCGTCACGCGATATCATGTGATCAGCAACGAAAATATCTATTTGACCATATTTTCCAAATTGCAGATCTTATCCCCCCCCCTCATTTTGAGAGTGAAAAATCCAAATCGGTAGAAAATTTTATTTGTTCATTTATGTCGCACTAGAGCTGCACAATGGGCTATTGGCGACTGTCTGGGAAACATCCCTGAGGATGATCCGATGGCATGCCATCACAATTTTGATCCTCCGTAGAGGGGATAGCACCCCCGCTTCGGTAACCCGACGACCTGCGCACGAAGTCGAGCACTTTACGGTAGAACAGTTTAACGAGGACCAATACCGCACACTCTCGGTCCCTACGCAGACTGATCCAAGTGGTCACCCATCCGCACACTGACCGCAGCGAGTGATGCTTGACTTTGGTGATCTGCTGGGAATCATGTCTTAACGATCGGTCCACTGCGGAACAAATCGGTAGAAAAAAAGGTATGTTTGTTTTAGAAAAAGCAAGTTTACGAATCTGACTTCGTAACTTAAAAAATCGTCTGCACAAATAAATTAGAATATTAAATATTAGGCCCTCAAACCATTAAAATCGAATCCTAGTGCGAGAAAGATCATTAGATAGACTTATTCTCGCTATTAATTTTATTTATTTATTTTTCTTTTGAATCTCTGTACATTTTGTAGTACTTTTCATGTTGGATTTATACAAGGTTCATTCATATAGCTAGGTGAATCATCCATTACCTTACATAAAATTTGGATCAGAAATATGCATGAGGCAAACGCTTCTTATCGCATGGAAGCAGCGCTGTTCACGAAAATTAAAGTTAATTGAAAATTGTTGTGTCTTGGAAAAAATGAACAATATACAAAAGTTTAGATTACAAATTGGATAAAAAGGAAGAGACCTAAAAATTATTCACGGAAGTGTACAAAAGAAATGCAGTGTAAAATCGTATAGTTAAAATTTAAGTTTTTCAAGACCCATTGACCAATTTCATTCAAATTTTGAATTTTGCCGTTTAAAACTTTATTCCTTAAAATGATGCTAAAATTTGTATCCTTACAATTTAAAAAATGTTCGACTGTTTTTAATGAAACCTAACTTTACCTAACCTTACTTTCGACCATTCTCCTGACCAAACTATTTGAACCATATGCTCCATATTGCGGATATACCCCATATTTTCAAGAATCTGAATCCGTCGAGGAAAAAAAGATATGCTTATTCTGAGAAAGTATGTTTTAATGTCTGATTTCGCATCCTAAAATATCGTCTGCACGTATTAATTGGCATATTTAAGGATATGAGGCATATAATTATATAAAGTAAAAATCCAATCATAAATCACAAGTTATTCATATTATTCATTTTTTTTTATTTCGAAAACTGTCCATAACAGATATTTCTAATAAGAACTCGTATGTCATCGACCATCGTTTAGTTTTCATAATAGTTATTAATTACTTTAAGCAGAATTCATTATACGTAGAACAGTAAAAAATAAAGATATATATTTACTTATTATGCGATTAATAATTTGATTTGTAAAAAACCTCCGACAGACAAGAACTTGAAATTATACGCATTCATTTCTTAAAGCGTGCTTTTTTTTAAAACACGCATTCAAAAAAGGTTTAGCTAGCTTTGACACTGATATGCTTTATTCTAACTACAACAGAATGGCCAGACATCTTTAAGAAAAGTGAGCATAAAAAGTGAACATGTTATTTTCTACTATCAAAGAATTAATTATACCACAAAGGCAATAATATAAATATGCTTGGATTAGATAATCAAATAGATTCGTACGAATTTTAAGTATGTCGAGACTAATCTTACTATTATAGTAACAATTATTAGGAAGTAGTTTGTTTTCTTTTCAACTTGTTTATAACTAAAATACTTACAATTTTAAATTTTTTAAAAAACAAATCATAACTTACCCCTGTCTCCTTGCATTTATTCTTAAAGTGTAGATGAAATAAATCAACTGCACTAAGTCATAGATTTTATAGTATTTACTGTCGCTATCTTCAGAAATATATTACAAAAATAACACAGTTTAAATTTTTCACGTAACATCAGTTAGATCTTTGCAAACAGCAATGAATAAATAAAAAGTTGATAATTTGATGACCAGCATCAACAAAGTTCTTATTGGTTATAAGTCTAGCTAATAAATATAATAAATTAATTTACAATGAAACTATTAAACACACTTTTTTAAATAAATCGGTAAAATATGCACGCACCAGGACAATGAACTTTTTCCAGTTTTATTGCTTTAGAGATTTACGAGACATTTTCCTTAGAGCTCTAGTGTATGACCTTAACACAGGCATGGCACGGCTAAGTATTTCTTGGAGCAACGGAAATAAAGTTACTGGCCGCTGTAATCGAAGCTTATAAAAATCCCATGCATATCCCATGAGAGCTATGGTCATTTCTCGTAAAGATGACACGTACGTATTCATATTGTCTGGTGGTGCAATACTTTTGAAAGGTGTTGTTAAAACTCGTGAAAAAGGGTTGTCATCAGTTGATGCTAATCGATACTTATCTTTGAATTCCTTTTCTTGGAGCACTGACACAACTCGTTCTGGGAAGTTAGTTAAAATAGCATCTACTCCAGCTCTTAACGATCTTCGAATTTGAGCAGTAGTATCTAATGTCCAGTCGTAAACTTTATCAATAAACGCTGTTCCTGAATCTCTTATTCGAATTGCATGTCGAAGTCTGTTATCATCACGAAATGCTCTTAAGCAGTTAGTAATACCATCACCTTGCCAACGATTTTCAGTAACTCCTAATTTGACCCACATGCGTCGAATATTGTTTAAATCATCGTTTAATCCAACATCGAATCCTAACTTTTGCATCGTTGATTCGCGTTTTGAATTGGTGAATGTATCTCTAACACCTCTTATAGTTTCGGCATCTGAAACATGAGGTATTGACAGTAATACGTGGATATGCGGTTCTGTTAAATCGTTACTCCAGAGATGAGTGATTAAATATTTTGCTATTTCTTCTCCTGTCTTATATTTTTCCGATCTTACTACATCACCAAGCTTCAAATCTAAAAATAAAAATGTTAAACTTCTCTTACGATCCGAATGATCTGGATTTACTAAGTCCCGAATATGATTTAAGTACTTCGCAAAGTTTTCTTTTTCATCACATACTCTATAGCAATCACAAGGGTATCCATGATAAATTTGCTTTACCGATCCATTCGAAAAAAAGGTAAGATCTGCTTCAATTGCATTTGCACCCCTCGCTAAATGCTCCTCCATTTCATAAATTGAATTCACCATGTGAGCCACAATATATATGGGTCTTCTATCGTCCGCTGAGACTTGATTTTGAACCAAACAGAAATAGACGAATATAAAATGATTTAAGAAGCAAAAATTACAAATATTTTTTCGAAAAAGAAATGCACACATAACGAATCAATCTGTGAGAACTTCAAACAAAAACAACGCGTCCTTTGGTGATGGTTCAAAAATGCGAATAAGTTGCCATTTTCCCGGCATAAACTACTGAAGAGTAAAAAAGAAAAATAAATCTATCCTCGCGGAACAGAGGAGAGTTGTAGTAAGTGAAGCTTAAGAAGATAATGAGAATTTTTCAAGAAACACAGGAGATCACATCAAATCGCCAATAATCGCATCTTGAACGCCAGATAGGTAGGTTGATCCGGATTTGGAAACGGTGGAATCTAGATTGGCGATGATATCTGACCTGATTTAAACTTCCAAGCAAGGGGAAGTATTTTTACATTTTCATTGATGTGAAAGAACCAGATCAAAAGCCACGGGGGGTAAAAGGTTGAGGTCATATTTATTTACATCATGCATGGTTAAAATTCTACCTTCTTTAAGTCCTGTTTGCACAGAAAGAGAGAGAAATTGTTATTATAAAAAAGTAATCTGAAAAAATAATATTTATATTAAACTTAACCTGCGTGGGGCTACTGAAGCGTTTTGTAATCAGCAAAGCATAGCGGAAAATTGTTGAGACTGAAAGATTACTTCCACTCAAATTTTCCTTAAAATGATTGAGAAAGCAAACATACTTTTGCAGTTCAATAAACTTGGAATTTTTTTTCAACGAAAACAACAGTAAAATATTTACAACATACAAATTGTAAATAATGAAGTTCAATATATTTGTTCTTAAAATTGAAATTATAATTATCAACTCATTTTAATTCATATGCTCTTAAAATGGTTTTAATAAGTGAAATAGCAAAATTAAGTTCTGAACTTATTACATTCTTTATGAGTTAACATAAGAAATGTATACTTCATAATATGATTCAATTCTTTTAAAATTTTCTACTTTTAAAACACAATATTTATAAAATATATTGAAGTATTTTTTCCCATCAATTGGATACCATTGCGCAGAAGAATTCGATAAATTAAAAATTCATTAATCAGGAAGATGTTATATTTTGTTTTACATCCAGCATTTAACAGTCAATCCAGTTCTAAGTTTACGACTACCAGTGTTCAAATCCGTAGCATTGTAATTTTGAACCCAACCCAGAAGACAAGGGAACAATTGAATCCAGCACTGGGATAAAGTAGCCTTCGTGGAAGACTTTCTGATGGAACCAACCCACATTTGCGTTACATGGAAAGGAAAACCACGGAAGCCTCACACGATTAGCCTAACGGCAAGGGGATTCTAACACATGATCCGTCAACCACTGAGGATATTTTACGTCAGCATTGTGGTTGGTGCGAACTGATTGTGGAATTCGTATCGACTAGCCATAGCTGGGATTCGAACCCGGTTCACCTCATTGGGAGGCGAATGCTCTGGCCACCACGGTTCACGGCAAGGGGATTGTAACCCATGATCCGTCTACCACTGAGAATATATTACGTCAGTACTGTGGTCAGTGCGATCCGGAAGCAGAATTCGTATCAACCAGTCACCGCTGGGATTCGATCCTGGGTCACCTTATTGGGCAATGAACGCTCTATTCCCTGAACCACCGCGGCTCTAATCAGGGTGATTGCATGACTTGAGTCCTTGACAGATTAAAAGAAAATCAGTACAAAGTTTCTTGAAGTCACTGAAAGCGCTCAAACAAGCAATACCGAATTGGGGGGGGGGGTACAGGCTGGGACCCAGGATAACCAAAGGGCCCCGACAGGAGCCGCATAAAATGTGAAATGTGGTTAGTAACATGAAAATCTACAAGCAAAATAAAACACTAATTTGAAAAACAAATCCTTAATCTAAATAATTTTAAATAGCGTTCGTTCAAAAATTGTATTACATTAAAGTATTTTTTTGTGCCTGGTTTTTTAATATACTCGGTATCACTAATTTATTAGCATATTTAAGCTTCATCAATTGCCAGTATATACATTCCGTTTTTCATGTAATTTTTTTTTTAATTTTGTTTTTAGAAATATTAAAACTAAAAATATAAATAAAAGAACTTAAGAATAGACTCACGAAACTGTTCCGTAACTCAATTTATAATAATTGATTCTAATATTTGGCTCTAACAAAAGTCATATCTTACTTTGCGTATACGTCATTCAAAAAATTACTCCATAAATTTCAGTTATGTGTATTATAGAAACACAAGGTATTTTCTGTTACACAAAGTACGAAATCTAAATTCCATTAACTGATTTAAATATTTATTCGTGCATAAAAAGAAACTGTTATAAGAATAAGTATAGAAAAGGAATAATATAGCTGTTTGAGAAGTTATTTCTTTTTCTTAATTTCTTTTTTCTTTCTACTCGTCAATCATCGGAAGCATTTAATCTTCTCTTTAACCTGCATTAAAAGGGAACAATGTCAAGAGCATTATAATGCTCTAGAAAGGATTCCAATTGTAAAAATTATAATGTGTCTTGTAAATCTTTCGTAATTAATGAAAAAAAGTCGACTAATATTGTTCTGAGAGTCAATTTCTTTATATAACTCTTTTCTAAAAAATATTATAATAAGTCTTATTAATTTTCTGTAGTTAAAGAAAAAAAAGTCTACATTGTCCTGTAAATAAATTTCTTATTGTAACTTTGTTAGTAGGATAATTTATTTTAATGTAAAAATCAAGGTTAGCACATAAAAGCATCACACTATCATAAAATCAGTACTCTAACCTCTTACTATTTGATTAGCACTTGAACCAGAACTCTTATGATCAGTACACGAACCTCTTATCATTTGCTTAGTACTCGAAACCGCAAACATTCAACCAGTTCTCGAACCTACTATCATAAAACCCTCTTGTTGATACTAGTACTTCAAAAAAATAAATATTAAATAAATAAATAAGTAAAAAATGAAAAATTCCAATTCAAAATAAAATAAAAATTTGTTTGCCCATTCCAAGATTTGAAGAGTTATTTTTTTTTAAAGTTTAAAAAGAATATGAACAAAACAATATTGCCGTGGAGAAAAAAGAACTTAAAACTTATTATTTTTTTTATTTTTTTTTATTGACGTGCACTTGGGATGTATTGTCCCATTGGTCTCTTCATGCCAGAACTGCTACTCTCTACTCGTTACCCAGTGGGCACCTGTGGCGTAACCACGGCGGTGGAGCAGCGTCGCCCACGTCACACATCCACAAACCCGTTTATAAGGCGAGTCACTTTCACACAAAGGAGAAAGGACATAGAACACAGAGAGAAAGAAACATCCATGCCCTGAGCAGGATTCGAACCCGCAACCATCAGCTCCGCAGTCAGGTACGCTAATCACTCGGCTACCTGGTCGGCTTTTTTTTTCTTTTTTTTTTTAAATTTGATAATAGGAAAAAAAACAGAATTAAGTTTGCGTTCTAAACGCGTAAAGCGTAAAGAATACAGAATTAGAGTTCTAAAAATTAAGAACAAGATAAAATTTATATTAATGGAAAGTTAAAGGTGAATCACGGTTCTCTAAAATTGAGCAATACTGACTCAAGAGATAGAATGTTCGCCTCCCAATTAGGTGACCCAAGTTCGAATCCCAGCGATGGGTGGTCGGTATGAATTGTGCACCCGGCTCACCCAGACCACAGTGCTGACCTAAAATATCCCCTGTGGTAGACGGATCATGGGTTAGAGTCCCCTAGCTAACAGTGGAGGTTTTCGTGGTTTTTCTCTCCTGTAACGCAAACGCGGGTTAGTTCCATCTTAAAATCCTCCATGAAGGCTATTTTGTCTCAATCTAGGAGTTCCCTTGTTTTCTGGGTTGGGTTTAAAATTACAAGACTGCGAAGTTGCACATAGATAGTTTTAAAGTCAGAATTGGGTTGGCTGTTCAGCACCGGTTATAAAAAAAAATGCATCATCAACGAACAAAAAGCCATCAAAAATTACGTATAAACTAAGTTTGTATCGAGGGTCCCCAGAATGAGTGCTGCCGAATAAGACGAAGAGTGAAGTGAGGTGTTTGTTGCTTTAAGTCTATTATAAATTATTTCATTGTTTAAAACTAAAGAGGAAGAGTGGTTTATGTCCATGAAAATTATTTCGGAGAAAAGACTATTTTCCGAGAGGAAGCGAAAGGTTTTTCCACAGTACGGCCAATTTTCACTGTGTAATAACTCTCGAAGAGAACCAATTTTTACTTTATTGTTTTTTCAAAACCTTGTAGTCCTCAAAATACAACAGATGTCTATCCACTCGCCATTTTTTTGGGAAAATGGACAAAAACCATTTTCCCCTTTATTCAGATGCCTTTCAAAAAGAAAAAGTTTTAATGAAGAATTATTGATTTTTGGATTTCGGTAAGAAGTAAGTATCCTGCCTTAAGTGATTTAACTATAATGGTCCTCATTTCATTTGACACTTCATACTTGTGCGAATTTTCAACAGTTACTGTTCTAAAGAGTAAATATCGATTGAAAGTAAATATTGAAAAAGAAATAGCTACATTTACCTTCATTCCACGAATGGAAAAGCTTTGCAACGATCAGTAGGCCACGAGTTTAGACCAAATGGTGACCCCTCTCCAACCATTAACATTGAGTCATAGAACGTGAAAATCTTTATATAAAATCACACATTTTTCAAAATATTTTTTTTCTTTTTTTTTGTGCTCAGCAAGTAGTTAAAATAGCCAATCTGCTTTAGTTAAAATATTTTATTTGGGTAACTCAAAGTTAAAAAAAAATAATAATAACGCATTACAAGAATATTCGCAATAATAATAGTTCAAATCAATAGGGTAAAAAGAAATTCGGATTGTTTTGATAATTGCATGTATAATGGATGTTCCGTAAAGACTATCTTTAATAACTATTTTTAGAATCCTTACTAAAAGTTGAAACAGAAAAGTACATACATTGAGGGTCACAAATTAATAATTAACCAAGTAAAAAAAACAAAAATGCTTTCGATGTATAGCAAATTACTGTGTGTAGTAAATATTAAAACAGGTTTAATTGGAGGTTGAAACTTGTACGTTAAATTCGTGTGCCTTTCGTTAATGTTCTTCAAATAGTAAATTTAAGCGACAGCTGTTTCCCATCCACTTAAATTATGCAAAGACCAATAAGTAACCATAAAAGAGAGAGCTGTTATATAACTTTTATTAAACAACAAACCCAATTTTGGGTTTACGACTACCATGGTTCAAATCTGTAGTCTTCTAATTTTGAACCCAATCCAGAGGAAAGGAAACTCCTGGATCAAGTATTGGGAGAAATTTGCCTTCGTGGAGGACTTTTTGATGGAACTAACTCGCATTAGCGTTATACAGAGAGGAAAACCACAAAACCTACCACGGTTAGTCTGACAGCAAGGGAACTGTAACCCTGATCCGTCTACCACTGAGGATATTTTACGTCGGTGCGAGTTGGGTGTGTAATTCGTTTCGATC